CATCCTGCAGGGATCATTGGCTTGCTTTACAACTTACCTTTTCGTGGAGCAGGTCCGGTGTCACCCCATATAGATTGCATGCCGATGATCCCCGCAGGATGGATCGGATCTGTGGATTGAGCATAATGGATCGGAGTCCGATCCATTATGCTCCCCAATCTGCAGATCCGATCCATCCTATGGGGATCGTCGGCTTGCTTTACAACTTAACTTTTCGTGGAGGGGGTCCAGTGACACCCCGTATAGGTTGCATGCCAACGATCCCCGCAGGATGGATCGGATCTGCGGATTGGGGAGCATAATGGATCGGAGTCCGATCCATTATGCTCAATCCACGGATCTGATCCATCCTGCGGGGATCGTCAGAGGGGGTGTCACCAAGTGTTATCGCACCGAGTGACACCAACCCTAGGGACGCCCCTGCTTTAGATATGTGGCTATACCTCTGTCTTCCTCACTATTCTTTCATTTTTAGTTACATGACATCCTACCAGCCACTTGCTCCTTATCACGGCGTGTTAGTACATCTTCCACAAAACATCTGGATGGAAGGGAACCGTCTTGATCTGTTGGCATCCCCCGTAACATCTTCCATCTGTGTCTGTACCGTGTAACGATGGCTGCTGCTTTCATGTTGGGATTACTGCGGTGTTGGCCTCTGCTTCTATTTAATCCCCCGGCTGTGTGTGGTTAGAAGATGAGCTCAGGGAAAGGGATAAAAAGTCCTCAGATGAGCTCTATGAGAACCACATGTGGAATCAAAACAGAACAACCAGAGTTCAATATAAATAAGTTATCAAGCTGCTTTCTAGTAATTTTTTTTTTTTCGTTTACAGAGTGGTTTTCCCAACCAGGGGAATGGGGTGACATGGTGGAATGGATGACCTATGGCACGAAATGACTTTCAGGTGTTGGAGATTTACTTCATAAGTATGTGGACAACTGTGTTGTAAATAGAACAAACTGTCAAGAAACCTGATTAGCAGGGGAGATGAGATTACACACACTGCTGAATTTGGAGCAAGGAGGACAATTGGACATTGGAAGACATGGACTGGGGTCAGCAACCAGTAGATTGCGGCCAGGTGACTGGTGGATTGCGGTCTGGACTTGCTGGCCCATCATCCCAGAGCATCAAACAGAGAGCAATGCAGAGGGACTACTTGTAAAGTTGGAGCTGTAGTAGGTAGCAAGAGCCGTATAATCCAGTGTCTCCTCTGTAGGGCCGGCTCCTGTCCCCTGCCGAGTGATACCAGCTGCACTCTACCTCTGATCCAGGCTAGCAGCCTCCAGAGTGGTGCCAGAAGCAGTAAAGGAGAGATCTTCAGGACAGTGTGAGGCAATACACTGGGCATAATAGTATAGGGCTGCTTTCACACGGGTGTGCTGCGGTTTACCCACCTCACGGGTGCAGTGCAGTGTACCTGCAGCTTTCCTTGGCCATAGACTTCTACTATATCCTGCAGGTTTGGCGCACTTTCTAAAAGCACATCAAAACTTCTGATCGCAGGAATTCCCCTGGTTGGATACAGTAGACGTCTATGGCAGAGCTCAGCTAACCCAGGAAAGTTGAGGATGCACTGTGCTGAACCCACGATGCAGGTATACCGCAGCGCATCAGTGTAAAAGCAGCCTTATAGGGGGCTCATAACAGTAAGGGTTCATTTACAATTGCAATTTGGGGGATGGTAAAATCCCATTATGAGTTTTTACCACCTTCGCTACAACCTCACCTCCTTTAGCTGCAATGGCCAGGGGTGTACACATGTCGCAGCTGCAGCAGGAGTTCTATGCTCTGTCATGGCTGGTGGGTCAAGCGAATGAGGCCACTCAGCAAGTGCCCTGCAACCCTCTGCACTACAGCAAACAAGGAGTTAAAGCAGGCTGCGTTGTGTGCTTGCCCACCACCTGCTGTAACCCCTTGGACCCCGCTGGAGCATGCAGTTGTAGGGCGCTTGCAGAGTAGCCACATTTACTTGAATGGGTCACAATTGGCAGGTGGTAGCACCCACCAAAAGAAACATTCCTGCAGTGGCATGTGTACACCTTTGACTGTTCCATCAGCAACTAACTGGGGTAGAGACTGAGGGGCAATAAAACCATGACTCAACCGCAGGGTTTTACCACCACCCAAACTTTACGTGTGAACGAGCTCTAAGAGTGCCGCCGCTGAATGCAACTAAGGGCTCATTCACAAGTGCAGCAGGCATGGCTGCTCCTCTGAAAAGTGATCCAAGTGTGTTTGACAGGTGTTGAGGAGGTGATATTTTGCCTTCTCACCGCCTGATTTAAACCCATGATTGGCGTGCAATGGTCATGGTTGCGACAGTACAGCAATCAGATATGAGGAGGGGACACTGGGCCCGGGGATCTTTGACTTCTCCCATGTTGTTCAGGTAGATCACCTCCTCTTTAACCGTCTCCCGCCCGCCCTATACGGAAATGATGGAGGGGCGGCGGTTCTCTCGTTCTGGGAGGACGTCATATGACATGCTTCCACTTTAACCGCATGTGTGCACACCCGGGGGCGCACAGTGCGGCGATCGGTGGTGCGCTGTGTCCCTGAGACACAGTGGATCACCGATCAGCGGAAAAAGCCGGTGACTTCAGCTCTGTCATGTGATCAGCTGTGTCCAATCACAGCTGATCGCATGTAAATAAGGAATTGCCGGTTATCGGCATTTCTCTCCCCACGAGCTGTCACGCTGACAGAGGAGAGGAGAGCCGGTAATCGGCATTACTTAGAGGGGACATGTACACAGATCATCAGGGCACTGATGATCAGTCTATCCCTATCAGTGCCACCTGTCAGTGCCCATCAATGCCACCTGTCAGTGTTCATCAATGCCACCTGTCAGTGCCACACCAATGCCACATAGTGCCTACCAGTGCACATCAATGCTACATATCAGTGACCATCTGAGCTGCCTTTCAGTGCCACCTATCAGTTCCAGTCAGTGCCAACTATCAGTGCCATATATGAGTACTGCCTTTCAGTGCCCAACAGTGATGCCTGTCAATGCCCAACAAAGATGCCTGTCAATGCTAACCAGTGATGCCTGTCAATGCTAACCAGTGACGCCTGTCAATGCCCAACAGTGATGCCTGTCTATGCTAACCAGTGATGCCTGTCAATGCCTATCAGTGCAGCCTATCAGTGCCCATCACTGCATCTTCATTAACACATATCAGTGAAGGAGAAAAATTACTCATTTACAAAATTTTATAGCAGATAGTAAGAAAAAAAAAAACTTTTGTTTTCAAAAATTTCTGTTGTTTAGCAAAAAATAAAAATCCCAGTGGTGAACAAATACCACAAAAAGAAAGCTCTATCTGTCTCAAAAAAATGATAAAAATTTCATATGGGTAGTGTTGCATGACCGCGCAATTGTCATTCAAAGTGTGAGAACGCTGAAAGATGAAAATTGGCCTGGGCAGGAAGGGGGTAAAGTGCCCGGTAGGCGAGGGGTTAAGGTTGCCTATCCCTGACAGACAAGTCACACAGTGTGCATACAGGCAGTGCTGTTTTCCTAAAATTGGGAATATGTAGATGCTACACCTGTGATACAATAAATATACATGTTATACAACATCACTGTTTTTACACTTGTAAACGAAAGTAAGAATAAATTATCCAAAAATCGCTCTACTTTTTGGTTAAATGATAGAATTGCAACATTCTTGTGTTGGTTTAAACTTTATACCCTTCTTGCTTAACTGCCGTCATTAACATGAGTGCGCTCTGATTTCTATGGAATAAATAAATTTCCAGTATTATTACTGTAAAGCCCATCATTTCATCATTTGCAAATACAAATACGAAGTTGCCGGTCAAGTTTTTTTCAACATTTTCTAGAATGCAGAACTGAGAATGAAAAGTCAAATCCATTACAAAAAAAACAAAAGCATAGCGTGTAGGAAAGGGGATGGTGCAACCATTTTCAACCAGGGTTCTGTGGAATCCTTGGGTTCCTTTAGCGGTTGCAAAGGTTTCTTGAACTTTGACTTCATATCTCTGCATATTTCTGGGGTCAATGTAATTTGGCAGAGCCAGTGGCATGACACCAATGATCTTTTTAGCTGTCTGCAAGGGTGTCACGTACCTGGGAGGAGACTGAAATGACAAGGTTGGCCTCTCTTGTATCTCCAGCCCAGGCCCCACTGAGAGTGGAATAGATGGTGCCGGGTGTCAGGGGGAACATGAGTACCAGCAGATGTTGATAGAAGAACCTGCAGCAGTAGATGCGTTCCCAAGGAGACTGGTGAACAATCAGGTCAGGAACAGTAGCCATGCGCAGTAGTTCAGCTGAGGTTAAAGGGGCACTCCACTTGTGCTGCAGGCCCAGGATGTGTGGCTTTTTAGAGCTTTCAGCAGACTGGTGTCCGGAACACTCAGCAAGGTGCAGAGCTACAACAGCAGATAGCCGGGCAGGCACTCGAACCGGTCGGGAAGCCTACGTCAGAGACAGAGGCAAAGTCACAGGATTAGCCAGGATCATCAACAGGTGGGCAGCGAGGTACCAAATCATAAGCAGAGCCGAAGTCAGGAACTGGCGACATGTCAAGAGCAGAATCTGAAGTCAGGTCAGGAGCAAGCCGGGTCAGTAACAAGGGAACAGACTGGAAGAACACAGGACACAGGGAACAGCTGAAGACAAGTCAGCACTGAGAGTGAGGAGTGTCATTTAAATAGCCCATCTGGCTCCAGAAGCTGTGAGCACGCTCCTGCGTGATGTGCGCATGCGCAAACCTTTGCTCATTGTTATTAGTGGTGCACCTGTGCTCATTTCTATGAGCAATGATGTGCGCACGCAGTCACCATACTGGAATTCCCTTATGTCTCACCGGAATTCCCTGACAAAGGGCAACATTTTGACCACCACTGTAAGGTTTGCATTATTCCCATTGAATGCTCCCAATAAAGAGAGAATTCTTCCCATTGACCACCAATGTAAAGGGCATTCTTCCCACTGACCACCTGTGTAAGGGACGTTCTTCCCATTGACCATCAATGTAAGGGACATTTCTTCCCACTGACCACCAATGTAAGGGGCATTCTTCCCACAACTACCAGTGTAAGGAGCATTCTTCCCACTGTACACCAATGTAAGGGACATTCTTCCCACTGACCCCCAATGTAAGGGACATTTCTTCCCACTGACCCCCAATGTAAGGAGCATTCTTCCTACAACTACCAGTGTAAGGAGCATTCTTCCCACTGTACACCAATGTAAGGGACTTTTTCCCATTGACCCCCAATGTAAGGGGCATTCTTCCACTGACCCCAATGTAAGGGGCATTCTTCCCACTGACCCCCAATGTAAGGGACATTCTTTCCACTGTACACCAATGTAAGGAGCATTCTTCCCACTGACCCCCAATGTAAGAGGCATTCTTCCAACTGATCCCCCCCTATGTAAGGAGCATTCTTCCCAACTACCAATGTAAGGAGCTTTCTTCCCACTTACCCCAATGTAAGGTGCATTCTTCCCACTGACTACCAATGTAAGGGACATTCTTCCCATTGACCACCAATGTAAGGTGCATTCTTCCCACTGACTACCAGTGTAAGGGACATTCTTCCCATTGACCACCAATGTAAGGTGCATTCTTCCCACTGATCCCCAATGTAAGGAACATTCTTCTTGCTGATCTCCAATTAATTGCTTTAAGCCGGGGTTCCTTGAGACCTAAAAATCATTTTAGGGGTTCCAATGTAGAAAAAAAGGTTGAGAAAGGGCTGGGTTAGAACCTCTAAACCTTTCTCTTCTCTTCCTGTCTATTTTATAAGCAGAGGTAAATCACCCATCAAATGGGCTGTAAGAGGGGTATCAGTAGTACTATTTCGACATATTGCCTCCCATAGGCCTAGGACTTCAGGGTAAGGAGGGAGGCAGAACTAGGACTTTAAATATACAATGCACAACAACTTTGTATTTTATTTCCCTCTTCTGGTTACTGCTGACAATGTGTGTGTTAAATTTAACTGAACTTCATAAGAGTTCCAGTGTTCTGCCTCAGTTACCATCACCCATGCACAGACCTCATCCCAGGTACCGGCACCCATGTGGTTCAACCTCCACTCCTCAACCATTCACAGTCAAAGAAGAAAGTAGCTGCACTCCAGAGTAAAAAGCCAGAATTTGTGTTTATTGGTGGATCCAATGTACAGCAGACCATCTGGGCTCTTCTATCTGATCCTTTTGGTTTCAAATAAACTCATTACTGTACAAGTAAAACACGTCAGAGGGAGAAACTCAGAGAGTCACACACGGGTCGATCAATAAACACAGATTACGGCCTTTTACTTTGGAATGTGGCTACTTTCTTCTTGAACTGTGATTGAAGAACTGTAGTGTAAGAGGGTGTTGAGAGTAGTTAGAAGACTCACTACCGTTCAAGAAACATGTAACCATCTCTCCCTTCTCTTTGTTGATCTGTGCAGTTGAAAAGTAGCTGGCAGTATATAGCAGACCACCTAGTTTTGCCAATCATACCTTTTGGCATCACTCTGCATTTAAAATAAATACAAGGTATGACGTTTATATAGTAGTTTTTTTTTTGTAGTAGAACAGAAGTGGTTTTGATGAGTTAGGGCAGTGGTCTCCAAACTTACTAAATAAAGGCCCAGTTTACTGTCCTTTAGACTTTAGGAGGGCCGAACTGTAGCCATTGGAAGTAGAAAATGTTCCACCATCAGTCAGAGTAAACCATGTTTCATCTTTGGTGTCAGTGAGAGGAAATGAGCCCCCTCCTTGGTGTCAGTGAGTGGGAAGAATCATGTCCCATCATAGGTGTCAATGGGAGGAACTGTGCCCCATCATCAGTGTCATTGGGAGGAGCTGAGACCCATTGTTGGTCTCATTGGTTGGAATTGTTCCCCTTCGTTCGTGTCAGTGAGGGCAATTATGCCCATTTGATGGTGTCAGAGGATGACCAGGCTACAGTTTGAAGACCACTGAGCTAGGGCAAGGTCTTCAACAATACAGAATAAGTCCAGTTTTAAGAACTGAAGAAGTAACATGGATAAGTTACAGAGGTCATTAGCACTACAGAGTAAGTCCAGTTCTAAGAACTGAAGAAGTGACTTGGATAAGCTGCAGAAGGTCACTATCACTAAAGAATAAATCCAGTTCTAAGAACTGAAGAATTGACTTTGTTAGCTATGGAAGGTCTTCAGCACTACAGAAAAGTCCAGTTACAGGAACTGAAGAATTGACTTGGATAAGCTACAAAAGAACTGAAAAAGTGACTCAAACAAACTACGGAAAGGTCTTCAGCACTAGAGAATAAGTCCAGTTCTAGGAACTGAAAAAGTGACTTGGATTAGCTATGGAAGATCTTCAACACCACAGAATAAGTCCAGTTCTAGGAAAGGAAAAAGTGACTTGGATTAGCTATGGAAGGTCTTCAACACCACAGAATAAGTCCAGTTCTATAATTAGTCCAGCTCTAAGAAGGCTGAAAAAGTGAAATGGAAGGTCTTCAACACCACAGAAATGACTGAAAAAGTGGTTGGATTAGCTATGGAAGGTCTTCAACACCACAGAATAAGTCCAGTTCTAGGAAATGAAAAAGTGAGTTGGCATTAGCTATGGAATTAGCTATGTCTTCAACACCACAGAATTCCAGTTCTAAAAGTCCAGCTCTTGGATTAGATGGACTATTCAAAAAGTGACTCAAATAAACTATGGAAAGGTCTTCAGCACTAGAGAATAAGTCCAGCTCTAAGAACTGAAAAAGTGACTCAAATAAACTATGGAAAGGTCTTCAACACCACAGAATAAGTCCAGCTCTAAGAACTGAAAAAGTGACTTGGATTAGCTATGGAAGGTCTTCAACACCACAGAATATGACTAACTACTACTAGCTTTTAAAAGTCTGTAATATCTCTTTATTACAAGGCCATTTTTCAGTTTCATGTGCTGTGATACTTGACTGACAATTACATAAAACACTACCTAAATAAACTTCATATAATATTTGGAGACAGATAAAGCTTTATTTTGGTGGTATTTAAACACCAGACATTTTGAAAAAACTGTTTCCCATCCTTTCTGTTATAAAACATATCAAATAAAAAAAAGTCAGGACAGCACAAACACTCCCTTAATGCCCCTTGTTTGGAGATCACCCCAAGGTGATCTCGTTTTTTTGCCACAATTTTTTGGAAATGAAGAAACATGCTGATATTGGGGAAGTTAAGCTAGAGTTGGGTTTCAAAGCCAGGGGGTCAGCATATCGGCCAGGCCACTAGCATTTTCAGAAGGTGCAATCCAGCTGACATGGACTTTAATATAGCAGAACAATAATAATAATGTAACGACACGTTTAAAAAAAATTGCATACGGTATGCATAAAACATCTTTTCTGTCCGAAATACCATCATGGCAATAAGACACAGAATTTTTTTTTTTGAATGATATAAAAAAAAAAATCAGGACCTCTACAATAATAGCTCAGAATCTGATTTTACTGAAAAATACACTTCAGTTTCTTTGAAATTTCGAAGAATAAGACCTCCAGGGACTTTTTTTGTTTTTTTTTTGGCTGGATTCTTACCCTTTCTGTGTTTTGCCCAGGCGATAGACTTCGGATGACCGGCAAACAACGGCGCAGCAAAGACACTTGACTGCAGGTTATTTGTTACTGCTCAGTGGATATTTGTATTACATGATGACTGCTGAGACGGGGTCATGTAAGTAATGAGAGCCCTGAAAAGCAGTTTATTGGGCGATTCCAGCAGCTCAGCGGGCAAGCAGCCAAAGAAAAGTGTACAGGTTACTGAGTCCCCCCGATGTAGAGAAAACACTTCTGGCATTTCACAAAGACCTGAAAAGCTCTTTTGAACTGGCTCCAGGTCCATGGAGACACTCCTTGGGGGGGCAGAACAAATCATGTACATTAAAAGGAGATTAATTAGCTTAATAAGAGAGGATAAAAATATTTGTTGTTCTAGAATCTCCGACCCCCTGTGCCAACAGAGCCCCGTTGTTTCAATTCAATTTCCATGTACTGACTTGTAGAAGGGAAAACTTCAAAGGGCTTCAGTTGTTTATTGAAACTGCACCGTGAGCATTGGAGAATTTTACTAATTGCACTATAAAGAGGATTTGTAGGCTACCATGTACTGATGCTGGAAAAATACAAAATGCAGCTCCAGGCAACAGGTTGTATGAGTTAAAGGGACCCTGTCCATAGAATAAATATCAAAAACAAAGGGTACCAGAAGAAAGTTCACACTTAACTCTTTCACTGTACATACCGCTGATCTCTGCTGTATTGCAAAAATTCCATCTTCAGAATCCATCACTTCTGGAAATGTTAGATTCCTGGTTCCTGGCTGCACTCCCTCCCACTGGACTCTATGTCAATACCACTGACAAGTATACCTAATGAAGGCCATGGGGCCTGGGGTGGGATTGGGCCCTGGACAGGGAGGCTGTTTAGGCAAATCAAGCTGTAAAGTCTCCAGTCTAGGAAAGTTGAAGTCAAGAGGAGTCCTTGGGACCGATGCTAGTCCCAGATACCTCTCTCTGGGCAGTAAGGAGCTTGTCCTAGCTGTCTAAACAGTCTAAGCTAGGGTTTCTCAGCCAGGTTTTCACCAGAGGTTTCTAGGGCTCCTTGAGTAATGATCAATTTCTGCCTCTCAGATAACTTACCACTAACACCATTGATCGTTTTAGCTATCTGTAAGGGGGGCAGGGGCAGACTGGCCATTTGGAAACTTGGTGTAAGGGACTGCCCGGCGGCACCTCTAGCAATCCACCGGTGGGGTGTTTCCAGAGTGCGGAATCTAAGTCCCAGAGCACTTTTTCACCAGGGCCCCTGATGGTGGGGATGGACTTGGAGCGCTCTGAGACCAGGTCGCGACTACTGGGCACACCCACCACTGGTAGAGGTATCCGCCGAGGGCTCCCGCAGAGGAAGAGCCTGATGTGAGGAGGTCGGGGGATCCCGACGGGATGGATGGATGGCTGAGCAGGTGCAGGGTCAAACAAGCCGGGTCGGGAACCGTGGGATATGCGAGGTACAAAACAGCGGGCAGAGAATAGTCGGGTCACACGCCAGGTCAGCAACAGTATATCAGAACAAATAGGGGGCATTCAGAAGAGAGGTCAGGCAAGCCAGAGGTCAGGGCAGGAGAATGCAGCAAGGTCAGAAAATCCAGGTAAGTACTCACAGTAACACAGGTATCACAGGAACAGATTAGACCGAACGGCATTCAATGACAGCTCAGGGCGATTTAAATACCGCGCCCTGCGCTGTCATTGGTGCCCGGCATGCGCCCGCGTCACTCACTGCGCATGCGCGAGCTCGCCGCGGCTGGCCCGGACCTAGTGCCCGCATTCCTGTGTGAAGCGACGCACTGCGCCTGCGCCGGGACCAGCGCCGCGGCGATCCCTGACACTTGGGCACTGCCCGAGGGCCCGGGATCAGTAGGGGGCCCCATGAGATGCCCCGGTACCTTTTTCATAGGCTTTTTTTGAGTTTGGGAAAGGACACGGGGCCCCATGATCCCCTATTGCCCGGGGGGGGCCCATGAGTTGTCAGTCCACCCCTGAAGGGGGGTATTTCTTCCCAGTGACCACAGGTGTAAGGAACATTCTTCCTA